TATATATATATATATATATATATATATATATATATATATATATATATATATATATATATATATATATATATATATATATTCACACCTCTGCTGGAAGTTGCTTGGCACTACTATTTCCTTGTGGGTTTTTTTTTTTCGCCCATGCGCGATATCGTACAGGTCTTCTTATGGTAAATATGCACAAAGTTTGATAAGAATTGCAGAGAAAAAGTATTAAACCCACATGTAAAATATAAAAAGCCACCAGGAGGCTATAATTTAATCAGAAAGCTTTTGTATTCAACCAGAATGAGCTACTGGCGTATAAGTCAATTAAGTCAAAGTATGTGACCTGGTTCTTTTAAAACAGTATCCTACCTAATGCTCAGTTACGTTTTAGGATGCTTAGGGTATGTTTCATTCCAAGGGCAAAGATTTTAACTGTAAAGAATATTTCATTAATCAACTGATTGACTGATCATTTGAACTGACATGAAAAATTACCTAGATTAAAATTTCTCCTACAATAATCTGAATTGTGCTTTCTGCCAGAACGTAAAGACAAAGGGCAGAGCAGCAGGGAAGTTAACCTTTACCAGGAACTATGCAGACTTTGTAGATATGGGATTTCTGTCTCTGTGAAAGACTTTGAGGAGGACGATGGTGTTTTTGCTGATTATCTTAACTGTAATTTTCTTTGCACATTATTTAAACTTTGAAATGAAATATGTAAAGTTGAGGAAAATGAGTTAAAGTAATGAAACCATGTCTAAGTTATGCACACATGCAGGTAATTTTGATTTTTTGTCAGAATCATTATCTATCTGTTAGCACTAGCTGAGTTTTCTATATATATCCATACATTATAGGATCCTTCCTTCCCCTGACATAACTCTTCTAGCCCAAGCTATGGACTGGCTCACTGCCTCTTGTCTGTTTGAAGGAGTTTGTTATTTATAAGATATTTATTTAAATCTAAAGTATTTATATCTAAACATTCCTTGTTTATTTCCTCCACTGTTTGGAATATGTAAACTGACAGATGTAGAAGGAGATTAGCATGTGAGCCCCACAGATCTTCTGATAGGAGAACATGTCTGTTTTCCAGATTATTTATTTCCTGAAGTCACTTATATGGTGAACAGCAGGAATGATCTAAAGGGCCAGAACATGCAGAACCCTGGATGCCATCTAGATCCCACACTGACCTACTGTGAGGAGCTTTAAGCACATCCAGTCTCTCATTTTGAACATGGATGCATATGATGCAGACTTCAGAGCGTCTTTGAAACCATGCATTACTTGTCTCTCTTGTGTCAGGTAAAAACATCATTATGTGATCTGGGTTTGCTGAATCTGATGTAAACCAAAGCCACTCCTCATGCTCATGTGATCAATAAGGAAACGTCAAGGCGACCCGAGCTAAAGATGTCAGACAGGCTGAACAAGTCAGACGTGGTTTTTAGTGTTTACCTTTATGGCTGAGTCACATATGATCAATCGGACCAGTTATATGTCAGACAATATTTTCACAAACCGGCCTTTAAAGTGTGGGGGTGTAAATACGATCAAATAAAATGATACAACTGGCATAAAAATCAAATACAAACAGCATAAAAATAAAGCTCACCATTATGTTGAATTAATGGGAGCCCTGAGCTTGTTTCTCTGAAACAAGCCGGTCCAATCCAGGCGTAATCGGAGACAATGACACACGAAGTGTGCTCCTGATGCCCAGTCTGCTCTGTAGCTTTGTTTTGGTCGCTGTAACCGCAGAAAATCCCGCTTCACAAAAATAGGATGTTATAGATAGGATGCGTCTTGACCTGAATTAACCTGTGTCAAGAGGCACGGATGCGCCGACTGATGTAATTGGGAGAGAATACCCTAATTTTTTATATTTTTCAAAATGAAACACCACTCAGACTCTGATCGTCGATAAATTATATATATCTATATATTTTTCTTTCTGTGCGGCCCGGTACCAAATGACCGACGGACCAGTACCGGTCCGCGGCCCGGTGGTTGGGGACTGCTGCTGTACAGGATACCGATTTATCCAGTAATTTTCCATCATGTTCAGGATATAAAAGAGGGTTTGGTTGAGTTAGATTGATATGCATGTGTCTGGTGGAAGAAAAACCCTGTAACAGCAAGAACATTTATACCCACATCTGAGATTAAAAAACAGAGAGCTTTAATTGCTGCTCAGCAGCTATTATGTGATGAACAACAGAGCCTAAAGTCTCTAAAACTTTGCAAATGTTTCTGATGACTGTAGCTGGTTCCTCGAAGATCATACATGAAGGAAGCAGACTGGATTTCCTCTCTTCTTTGATTTAATTGTTTTTTTTTTTTACATCTTTCACACAGAAGATATCCCCAAAGTGTTTGGCAGGACCATATTTTACAGTGTCAAACTGATTTGGAGATAGAAACTGTTACCCCCCATGTTCTGTGGTGCTGTACTGCCCCCTCTGGCAGAATTAAGCCTCTACAATCTGCTGCCCACATAAAAAAAGTTTAAAACTTCTGTTAAATCTAAAACTAGGAAAATAAAGACTGTTAAAGTATAATCTTAAACCCACACTCAGTTTGTTTTATTTAATCATATCCTTAATTGGGGCACACATATTTAACAGTTTATTCAAACCCTCAAATTAATTTTAAATGATGTGAAACTAATCCAAAACGAAAGGATTTACTTTCAAATTGTTTCTTAAAGACTTTGGATGTTTAATGTCCAATAGGTTTGTCTAAGGTGCACCCTTGCAGTCTATTTCTTCAGAATTATTTGTTTGTGCAGTATCCCTAATAAAGACTAAAACAATAACCTTTAAAAATGCATTAATTGATTTTTTATTGGTCTCACAGTGAAGAAATTTACTTCTTACATCAGCTCAAATAGTCAAAGGAGAAGAGGAATGTGCAAAATGACGAAAAAGTTGCATGCAATACATAGAGTTCATCTACATCTTAAAGCTTTTTATTTTTTTTATTTTTTTAAAGTAGGATCATTTTACAGGGTTATTGCACAGTGTGTTCACATGGGTATAGATGGATATATATATATATATAGTTATTGCACTGGGTGTCAAATATAGAAAAACAATTATTGCACAGGGTATTAAATAGTAATTGCACATTATACATCGCACAAGTTATTGCGGTTGTAGTGTAGCATTGTAGAGTCTGGTTGCAGCAGGGATGAATGACCTGCGGTAGCGCTCCTTTTTACAAACAGAGTGTAAAAGTCTTTCACTAAAGGAGCTGCTCAGCTCCTCTACAGCCTGGTGCATAGGGTGGAAGGTGTTGTCCATGATGGATGTAAGCTTGGACAGCACCCTCCTCTCAGTCACTTCCTCCACTGAGTCCAGAGTGCAGCCTAGGACAGAAGAGGCCTTTCTCACTAGGTTGTTCAGTCTCTTTCTGTGATGCTCTGCGCTGCCAGGGACCCAGCAGACAACAGCGTAGAGGAGGGCTAAGGCCACCACAGGTGAGTCCTAGAAGGTTTTAAGCAGGGGCCTGCTCACTTCAAAGGACCTCAGCCTCCTCAGGAGGTGGAGGAGGCTCTGGCCCTTCTTATACAAGTTGGTATTATGAGTCCAGTCCAGTTTGTTATTGACATGTACACCCAGGTATTTGAAACTCTCCACAGTTTCTATTTCCTGCCCCTAGATGTTCATGGGGGAGTGAGGTGGGGATCTTCTCCTGAAGTCGATCACCATTTCTTTGGTCTTACTGGTGTTAAAACACACCAGTCCACAAAGTTCATGAACACCGATCAATATTTCAGGTCCTTCCCCTCAGAAACAGCCTACAATGACCGAGTCATCAGAGAACTTCTGGAAATGGCAGCTGTCCGTGTTGTAGGTCAAGTCCAAAGTGTAGTTCCAAAAGACTGTGGAAGTGTTTTGCTAATGCTGGGTTGGCTGAGAAGAAAATATCTTTTTTTATCCCCACTTATTTCTCTGATTTTGATTTCATGGTAAATGTAAAGACACCATCCAGTGAATAATACTTGGAAACAATCCTGAGAGCATTCATTTATTAAACCCATTTAACCTGAACCCTTGTTCTGCTCGGAGATGTTCAAAGTACTCACATTCTTTATTTTAGTAAAAGTACAGACGTGTGGAAAAAACAGACACAAATAAAAGTACAACAGATTCTACATTGTATTTAAGTACAAAAGTAAAAGGACATTTTTGCCTTAAAAGATAAAACATATTTTTAAACTGTATTCTTTCAATAAAAAAAGATTTAAAAAAAAGCTGACTCTGTCTGGTTTTGTTCTATATCATAAAAATTAAGTCCCAATCAAATAGATTAAACTAAGAAGTCATCCTGCATAAGCAGCTTATAGTGTTTAGATCCCTGGTATTCACAGCCTTAATGTTGCAAATAGCATTAAAACTGAAATAAAACTTGAAAACTAATCAGTATGTTGATTTAAAATCTCATAAACTGAGATTTGAATGTCTTCTGTCTCTGAATCTGATCCATTATCAGTAGTGTTTCTCAGCCCCTGTC